AAAGCAGGCTCCAAGCCCTGGCTTGCCAACCTCAGGCCCTGGCCTAATAAAAAGCCATACTCAAGTGAAAAACAGCCTCCAAGACCCTGGCCTGACTATCTCAGGCCCTGAACTTAAAATAGTGATGACCCCAAGCACAAAGCAGCCTCTAAGCCCTTGCCTGCCTACCTCAGGCCTCAGCCTTAATATAGAGCCACACCCAAGCAAAAAGAAGCCTCCAAGTCCTGGCAGTGAGTTTTCATATATATATTCTTACATATTTATCACAGTTACATTGTAAAAATGTGACAAATTAAAAATTTTTAAATGGTAAAATAAAATAAAGTTTTTTTTGTTGTTATGTGCCATTGAGTCGGACCCGACTCATAGTAACCCCTCCTTGGGTTTCCGAGGCAGTATCACTATGGAAGTAGATTGCTTCATCTTCCTTCTGAGGAGTGGCTGGTGGGTTTGAACCACTAGCTTTCTGGTTAGCAGTCAAGTGCCTTAGGCACTATGCTACCAGAGCTCCTAAAATAAAGTTAATGATACTTAATGTAAAAATACATCATCTTTTATGAAAAACAATAAGCTTAGAGAAAATGTCTCCCACAAACCACAAATTAAACTTATTATCAGCTTATATTTTTGATATATAACATTGAATTAAATTTTATTTTATGAAAATAATATTCCAACAGACAGATGTTTCCCAGGCAGACAGAAAACAATTTAAAAAAAAGAAAAATACAAAACTATTTAGCAAACCTGAAAATGTCCCAAATATTACCAGTAATCAAAGTTATTTTTAAAGTAGATTCTGAGGTGATAGATACTCTGGTGTAGAGAATCACTTAAAACAGCCCTTCTAGCCACTGTTCTCTATGTTATGGCTCTATACCTGTGTTTATGTTCCCATTTTAGGGTGGGTTGTATGTTAAGTTAATGAGACAGGATTACTGTGGAATGTATTTTAAGTCACCACCTTATTAGAGGGTATGAATCCCAGTTCCTACCCTTAGTTTTCCTTGAGGCTGTGGTCTGCCCCCAATATATATTGATGTTTTGGCAAAATTCTCTCTCTTGCTCTGGATCCTACATCTGGTTCATCTTTATCTTACCTCCCTTACCTAGTT